CCACGTGTATGCATATTAAAACTTCATATACACCTATGCATACCCACATGCACCCATGCATACCCACATGCATACACATACATACATCCATAATAATCATATATATATATATACTCACACAAAATATATATATATATATTCAATAATTCATAAATTCTCATATCGGCATGTATCAATTATCATGCTATCACGTAATTATTAAATCAGATAATCACGTATTAAATACCTTGGGTAATAACCAGGATCTGGTTATCACAGTAAAGCTTCCTTTTGGACATCCCGTATTCGGTCTAGAAGCTCCACTTTAACACTCATCCACATGGCTTGAACCCTGATTGGTCCGGTCCTCTCTTTCCTACTAAGTGCATCGACAATTACATTTGCCGTACCTGGGTGGTAGTGAATCTCACAATCATAATCCTTAAGTAGCTCCATCCATCTCCTTTGTCTCATATTTAGCTCCTTTTGGTCAAACAAGTACTTAAGGCTCTTATGATCAATATAGATCATGCACTTTGTACCGTACAAATAGTGTCTCCAGATTTTTAGCTCGAAGACTACAACTGTTAATTCCATGTCGTGAGTTGGGTATTTCCTCTTGTGTTCTTTCAATTGACGTGACACATATGCAATGACCTTGCCTCGCTGCATTAGTACACAACCCAAACCCATTTTTGATGCATCACTATAAACGACAAAATCTTCTATTCCTTCCGGTAGTGATAAAATCGGTGCAGTGCTTAGTCTCTCCTTAAGTGTCTGAAATGCTTCTTCTTGTTTCGTTCCCCAATCAAACTTAACTAACTTCTTTGTCAGTGTTGTCAAAGGCGTTGCTATCTTGGAGAAATCTTGGATGAATCTTCGGTATTACCCTGCTAGGCCTAGAAAACTTCGGATCTCCGATACTGACTTTGGTGATTCCCAGTTCATAACTGCATCAATCTTAGCCGGATCCACGTTGATCCCTTCCGTGTTGACTATGTGACCAATGAATTGTACCTCATGCAACCAAAACTCACATTTTGAGAACTTGGCGTATAATTGCTCTTTCGCTAGTAATTCAAGAATCATCCTTAAGTGTTGTTCATGCTCATTTTTACTTTTCGAATAGATCAAAATGTCATCTACAAAGATTATGACAAATTGGTCCAAATACGGTCCACAAACTCGATTCATTAAGTCCATGAATGCCGCATGTGCGTTTGTTAACCCAAACGACATTACTACAAATTTGTAATGTCCATAACGAGTCCTAAAAGCGGTCTTCGACATATCCTCTTCTCAAACCTTCAACTGATGGTAACCTGATCTTAAATCGATTTTTGAGAAATAGTTGGCTCATTGCAACTGATCGAAGAGATCATCGATCCTTGACAGTGGATATCTATTTTTTATCGTGATTTTGTTCAACTCCCGATAATCGATGCACATCCTCATCGTGCCGTCTTTTTTTTTTGACGAATAAAATCAATGCTCCCCATGGTGACGAGCTTGGCCTGATAAACCCTTTATCTAAGAGTTCTTGTAATTGCTTCATCAACTCTTGGCTTTCTGTTGGGCTAAACGATAAGGCGCCCTTGCGATTGGTGCCGCACCTGGTACCAAATCGATTCGGAACTCTACCTGACGTTCCGGAGGTATTCCCGGTAATTCATCCGGAAATACTTCTAGGTAATCCCTCACATCTGGAACATCATGTATTGCTTTCTTTTCGAGCTTGGCGTCAATGGTGTATGCCAAGTAAGCCACGCATCCCTTCCGCAGACACCTATTCGCCTTAACTGCATTGATTAACCCTACGCAGCACTTCTTTCGATCACCGTAAACATGAATTGTTTCTCCTTCCGGAGTTTGAATCTTGATCATATTTTTATTGCATACTATTTGCGCATGATTGTTGGACAACCAATCCATCCCCAAGACCACGTCAAAACCCCCTAARCACATTGGCATAAGCCTAACAGGGAAATCCTTACCATCTATAACAATTGTGCATTCATTAAATACTTCGTCTACCTTACACTGACTACCGTCGGCTGTTTCTACAGTGTAGGCTTTGTCTAGCCTACAGGCACTCCTATTCAGATAGTGGCAGAAGGTAGTAGACACAAAACTACCATTTGCACCCGAATCAAATAATACATGGACATACACATTGTTGATAAGGAACATACTAGATACGACATCGGGTGTTTCCTTGGCCTCCTCCGAAGTCATGTTGTAAGCTCAGCCGTGTCCCTTAGGTAGCCCCTTCCTATTTTCTGATCTCTTCCCAAATCCGTTATTCACTGCCTTTACGTGGGATGTTGCACCATTTCGATATTTTGGACAGTCAGGTCGTAAATGTCCCGTAGCCCTACATTCATAACAAGTTTTTCCTTCTGGGCACTCCCACGCGGTATGCCCAGGTTTGTCACATTTGTAGCATGTCAGGCTCCCCGCTCTGCACTCTCCCCTATGTCTCTTRTTGCATTTGTTACATGGAGGAATAGTGAATCCCTCGCTTCGTGTTTTTGCCAGAGTCGGAGTCCATTTTGGTTTCTTGTTGAACTTGTTCGATCCTTCCCATCTTCTCTTTGCATCTCTTCTATCACAATTCTCCCTAGCGTTRTTCTCCTCTGCCACCTTCGCCATCTCCACTGCTTGGACAAATGTGGTCGGTTTAGTCATGCCCACGTACCGTTTGATTTCGATTCTTAAGCCGTCTTTGAAGAGACCTATCTTTCCCTTCTCGGTAGCCACATGGTAACTGGCGAACCTCGCTTTCTCAAGAAAATCGTTAACATATTCTTGAACCGACAACGAACCTTGCTTTAATCTCAGAAATTCTGATTCTAGTTTGTTCACTTCCGATTGTGCGCAGTACTTATCCATCATTCATCTTTTTCATTTGCTCCCAAGTCATGGCAGCAATATCCTCATCACCTTTGATTGCACACTCAGACTCCCACCAATGCAATGCATAGTCCACAAAGATTGTAGCAGCATAGGTCACTTTTTGATCTTCTGCGCATCTACAAATTTTGAAGCTACTCTGTATCTTGGTTACCCAGTTTATCAGGCCAACTGGGCCCTCTATTCCCTTAAATTCTTTTAGCCCAGTGCCTTTGAATGTTTTAAAGCTGCATCCTTTCTCCTTTATTGTCAATTTAGTTCTCTCGTTGGTGGGCGACTCCACCTTCTCTTTAACAGATACTTCCACCTTTTCAGTGGCTTGAGTGTTCTCATGTCGAACACTTTCCTCCTCTCCATCTTCATTGTCTTTAAATCTGTCACCCAACATTGCTTTAAGCATATTTGGCAATGTATCCCAGAGGACTTGTGCCATTTGCTCAACTATCATTTCCTTTGTGAGGGAATTTTCCTCTCCCCGGCCTCTTTGACTCCTACCGATAGCTAAATTAGCTTGCGCGAATGGAGTCGTACTAGAACTAGCGGTTGGACACTTCTTCGACCTCGACTTTGGGCTCGTGTCCGTCCTCGAACTATTGGTGGGGACATGCCATTAGTACCTCCCCCATTGAGGGCGTTCCTTGTTGATCCACGAGAAACCATACTGACATAATAGGGTATTATCGTTTTAACATGGTTCTAAAGTCAAACATAACACATTACATTTTTTTTAATAATATAATCACTATATATAAGCGAAGTACATAAAAAGGAATTCACGTCGAAAATTTCATAATGCTCAGTAAACTATATATATTTCGTGTCAATAAACAATCATGGAGAGAGAGATATTACATAATCCCATTTACTTACAAAATATGTGATACTTCATAATTCTAAACACATCTCTAAATCATGTGAATGCTCAAAAAAAATCTATTGAAGCACTGGACTGGATGAAAATTCGATCAACTATCTAGACACGCACAATTAACCCAAAAGATCTTTCTCTCTCCCCTCTCTCAAAAGGATTCTATGTCTAAAACTGATCTGCAAGGTAATAAGGGAGATAAGGGTCCCTCAACCACTCCTCAAAAGATGTGGATGGCCTGGAATGCCACAACACACTAGCCTTAGGGCCATTTTTAATGCATTGGACCCAGTCGGAGAAATAGCCCCTCAATACACCAGCGTAGTCTATGGTCATTTTCTTATAGAAGTGAACTCTGTCTCTGAATCTAGCACCTACGGGACGAGCAGCAATTCTTCGCTCCTGTTCAAGTACAACTTTATCCCAAATCAGTGCATGACGCTGTTCCGACAAATTTGCATTCTCTACAATTAGCTCGTTTAGGGCTTCTCCTTGTTTGACATGTGCCTGCTGAAGATTGTTCAACCATTCATTCAGTCTAGTATTCCCATCTAAAGTTCGGGTCAACCTCTCTCTTAGCTTTGTGTTCTCGCCCCTCAAGGTCTCTATAGTCTCCATCATGTCCTCACGTGTAGGGGTGCGGGGCGTATAGTCCTCTGAAGGCATGGGTGTGGTCCTTCGCCTGATGGGCTCTCGTGATGACACTTCACTAGTGTGGGCCAGACTATCGCTTCAGGACTGGGTGCCGAAAAATGTCTGGCGCTGGAGCGGTGACTGTCAATAGATCCTTTATTCGGTCCAAGCCCGTAAGGTGTCCTACGTGTTCCGTATCTGCGTCCACGTCCGCGTCTGATAGACCTAGTGTGAATGGTGTGAACCATGTCTCCTATAAGTCATAAAGAAACACTATGTCAAGTAGTAACGTAGGATCAAACTTAATCGCATGATAAGCAATACTAATACACAATAAACATGTGCTTCTAACAATCCTCTCAGTTTAAGCTTAGGCTAAGTAAATCTTAACCTAGTTACCTTAAACTAAAGCTTCTAATAATCCTCTCAGTTTAAGCTTAGGCTAAGTAAATCTTAACCTAGTTACCTTAAACTAAAGCTCTGATACCAACTTTTAACACCCTCATTTTTTTGAGAATGTTACGAAATCTGAAAACAAATTCCTAAATAAATACTCCAAAAGACGGCAAAAATAAAACCGTTTAAACCGTTTACAGCAAAAGTCCTTGAATCAACCAAACATTAACTAAAGTTCTAACCCACCTCATACCAGGTTAAGTTACAAAAGATCGACACAACATTGCTAGACAAAAGACTAAAAATAAGATGATAATTAGCAACTCTCTAAGCGTGTCCTTTGCCCTTATCCAACCTCGAACTACCTGACCCTGAGATGCATACTATAGTTAACTTATAAAGCTCAGTGAGTTTATGGTTTGCGTGAATACAATCATATCTTGACATATATATATGACATACATGCATGCTTTATAATAAAAGTCACAGCTTTAAGAAAATATATATTTAAAAAACTGAAAATAAGAGATCTCATATAATGTTTAGTTGGGTATGGATCATTTAGTCACAAACACGCCCTGGGTTGATATGTCAGTCTTAATTGATCATCCACTTATCTGGGTCGTGTTTTATACTGGTCGTGACTTACTGGTCAAATGCCCACCCTTGAATCATAAAACTTTAATATGGAATAACATGCTAGAGTTATTCGAAAATTGATTAAACACATAACATGTAACCATTCACAAAATAACATACATGTAAAATATATCATTTATGTAAACTGAAACATCATGCATATGTACACATTACCATATAAATCATATAATGCTCGAAAATAAATTTACACATAGGTATGCATCCCATTGTAAGTCTCATAAAGACTCACCTGATAACGTAGATTGCTTAACTAATGTCGCTGACTGGTAACCTACAATTTATAATAGCGAATAGCATATAAATGATTAATTTCTCCCAAAGGCTAACATAAAAGTCATCTTACGGTCAACTACGTCGACTAAGGTCAACCTTGGTCAACTATGCTTAAGAACGCTCCTCATATCAATTAAATTATAAGAACCGTATGTTCCGACATAAGGTGTATCGTCTAGCTATATATCTTAAAAYGACATCATAAACGTGATTATTAAGTTATCTATTATATGATAGACATGTTAATAATTACATATTTCGAGTTAGAAGCGTTCTAATAAATTTACAACTCGAGTAACACCTCGTATAGTCAATTATTTATTTTATAACTCCATAAAATTACCTTTTATAAAATAAATGTCTAGACAATATATATATATACATATATCTATATATATATAAAACTCAAGAGCTATGCTTTAATCTCATAAAAAAATCATCTAATTATTTAAATGATTCATTCTAATTATCCCCAAATAATTACATAGTTAAAGCAGTAAATTTCAACATTGACGGTATTTTTAAAAAGCTAAATGGTCTCGTATTGCTCAAAATACACACTCTTTAATTTTAGAGGTATTTTGGTAATTTCATAAAATAATAAAAAAAAAATAATAAAATAAAGTTGAAATCCATACATCTAAATTTTTTTAAAGAATTTTCTGGAGTTAAAAAAATTTTAGAAGTTAAGTTTAGTTCCCTAAATATTGGGGTTAAAATAGAAATTTATTAAGAAAAGTTAGTTAGTTATTAAATATAAGAAATTTTTAATCCTAATTAACATGAAATGGTTTTCTATCAAAGTGGTTAAGGCATACTTTTCTCAACAAAGGGTCACGGGTTTGACCCCTATTCTCAACATATATCTACATTTATTTTTTAATGGGTCAAAACACAGGTTTATGGGTCGGATCTGGGCCGACCCGACCCGGTCGCAACCCAACACGCCCACAGCAGCCATGGCTGCGTTTTTTTTACCATTTCAAGCTTCGGTTTGACCTTTTTTTTTAATCTTTTTTCTTCATTCTTTTTGTGCTAAAACTTTGGTAATATTTTTACCAACATTTTGACATAAAGAACATAATTTTTTGTCAAGAAATGAGTTCCATTTTCTCATTTAAAGTTTTAGTTTTAAACTAAACCGAACGAAACTTTAAACTTCTAAATCGAACCATAAAACACCAAATCTGAAACATAAGGATACTAGGGTTCCATAGAGGACTAAAAAACGAAGCTAACCATATAAAGAACATGAATTTTAGTTGAATATTTTTCCTCTAATCGACGAAAAACGAGGATTTTTGGCTTGAACTTCAACTCCGGTTTTCTCTTTCAAAACCCCACGAAAATCCGAGTGGTTTCGAGCTAAATGAAGAAGACAACGAGACCTACTTAAATCTGGTTTTATTTGATTCGTTGACCAACCAAGCCAATAGGAGCCTTCTAAACATCACATTGAAAAATCGTTTTCAACTTTTCAGACTTTGTCCTATTTACGAAACAGGTCCCTCAAAGTTGGACCACTTTTCACCAGACACTACCTCTGCACTATGAAAAATGACCTATAACCCCCTAGCTTGACTTTTTCTTTCACTTTTGGTCCGATTTTTAAACTTCTTTTAATTTCTTTATTCATTTAATTTATACATACATATATATATATATATAAGTACGTGTGTGTGTTTTATAATTCAAAAAAGAAAAAAAAATGTAAAGAATATTAATGAAGATAAAATTATTTATTGCTCGAAATTTTTGGGTTTTACATGGATCGAAGTTCTTGATGCAACTCAAGGATATCCCGGTCCTATATACAAAAGTTTTAATAATTACAAAGAAACTCTTTCTTCAGCCAGACCACGTTTAGGAAAGAATTTTTTCGTTTCTTCTTCCCTCATAAACTATACAGAACCCCCTTTAGACTTTTCTATTTCTTAAGACCCGA